TTCTGTTAGAGGCTGCCCTTCCCCCACCGAATGGCCTGGGCACTCTTGTTGAAAATCAGTTGACCACAATATGCCTATTCTTATAGTACTTTTTCTCTCTTTTTAATGCTTTAGAAATTATTATGAATATTTTAAAATCTTTTGCCAAAAAGGAGACAGTTTGATCATTCATCAGCCAGCACAGGTGGTCAGCTCTCCATATGGGCCAGTCCAGTTCCATTTAGACCCCACTCTGCTCCCAGTGGTGGAAGCAAATCCCCGACATATCATTTCTTTTGGATATATTTTAGTATTCACCTCCAAAATATGTGCACTTTAGAAGATTAGCTTTTTATATTTTTAACTTAATGTTTTGTGTGATGTGAGAGAGTTAAATGTAAAGAAGGATTAGCTACAACAGTGGAGTCACTGCACAGGTGAAAAGGCGAGCCTTAGGGGTTCTTGAGGGCTGAGCCAGTGGAGCAGCACACTGGGACCCGACGGGCCCTCCCCAAACCTGGGTTCAGACCTCCTTGGAGAAGTTATTGTTAAGTGCCCTGGTCGGTGAAGTTCATGGAGTCCAGCCTCCGGCAGCAGTGAGCAGAAACACACAGAAACGTTGGAAGCCCTGGAACCCGAGGCCCCTCACTCCTACAGGTCCCTCCAGTGCCTTTCTCGGCAGTGACGCATTGTGTTAACTTCAAAGAAGAAACGCTGGAGGGGTCCAGTGCACGAGGGCAGAGCAGGCAAGGAGCGGGAACGTGGAGCCTGGGGGCGGTACTGTTCCACTGCTGCAGGAGGAGTGTGGGAACCTTCCCCCCAGTGGGTACTTCCCGCCTACATCTACATGTTATAAACCCCATGATACATGGGGTATTGTCATTGTTTTGGAACCGTTGATTATCTTTTAAAGACATTTAGTGGCAAGAACAAATGCGCACTTTGTGTTCCATGTACCATCTGGTATCGGTTTCCTTTCACTGGGAGACACCCTTTCAGATTTCTTCTAGTGTGGGTCAGCAGGAATTGAATTCTTTCAGCCTTCATATGTCTGAAAAAGTCCTTATTTCACCTTCACGTTTGAAAGGTATTTTTGCAGGGTGTGGGGTCCTAGGTCTCAGTGTTTTTTTCTCTCCATGCTTTTAGCCACCGCCCCACTGTCTTTCTGTGCACCTGTTTCTGAGGAGTGGTCTGCTGCCATTCTCACCTTTATTTCTCTGGGGGCCGTGAGATTATTCTATTTACCGCTGGTTGTGAACATTTGATTATGATGTGCCCGAGTGTCATTTTTTTCACGTTTTCTTTTGTGCTTGGGGGTCATTGACCTTCTGGTATTTGTAAGTTTATAGTTTTTCATTAAATTTGGAAAATTTTCTGCTATTACTTCCTAATCCCCCCCCCCCCATCACCTCCTTTCCCACCCTATTCTTTACGGCCCCAGTTATACTTCCTAAAATCCCTGAGTATTTCATTTTGGTTTTGGCGCTATTGTCAATGGTACTGCTTTCTAAAAGTCTGTATTCAGATCGTTATTGCTGGTCTACAGAAATGCAGTGTGCTTTCGTGTGTTATTCTCAACCCAGGACCTTGCTGAGCTCAGGTATTGGTTATCCGAGATTTGTCGTAGCAAAGTTGTTGGAATGTGCAGATAGGTGCCCGGGAACACGGAGTATGTTTCTTCCTTTCCCAGCGGCATGCTGTTTCTTTTTGTTACCTTCTTGTCCTGACCCGTGCACAGGTGAGAGGTTCGATGGAGATGGGATGGTGGGGGGCCTGGCCTTGTTCTGTCTCAGGGGCAGGACTCGGCCTTTCGCTGTGGGGTGTGGTGTTGGCTGAAGCCTTTTTCGTAGATACCCTCCCTCGGGTGACTTGAGTTAATGACCTATTCTTAGTTTGATGAGAATTATTCATTATTATGAATGATTTGAATTTTTTTCAAAACCTTTTTTGCATATACTGAGATGATCCTATGTATTGTTCTGTAGTTGATGTAGTGAATTACACTGATGAATTTTTGAATGTTGAAGCAACCTTGAATTCTTTGGCTAAATCTCACTTGTAATGTACTGTCCTCTTTATGTATTACTGGATTCTACTTGCTAATTTCTAATTGAGGATTGTGTGCCTATGTTTGTGAGGGATAATGGTCTGTAGTTTTTTTCTTCTTGAAATCACTTTGCTTTTTGGTATCAGGATAATGCTGAGCTTATAAGCGAATTGGCATCTTTAAATTTTATTTTCAATTTTCTGCCAGAGGTTGCAGAGAATTGGCATTTGTTTATTCCTTAACTTGGGAGAATTTGCCAGTGAAATCATAGATGTTGGTGTTGTAATAGACAGAGGACTAAACAGGTTACCTCCTTTTTCTCGAGTGAGTTTTGGTAGTTTGCATCTTTCAAGGAATCTGCCCATTTTACCTAAATTGTTGAATTTGTGGGGATAGTACCTGTCTTTGTCACCTTGGGCTCCCAAAACAACAAAATAGTGCAGACTGGGCAGCTTCAGCGATGGAAATTTGGTTTTTATAGTTCTGGAGGCTGGGAGTCCCAGATCAGAGTGCCAGCTGATCCGGTTTCCAGCGAGAGCCTCCTCTTGGCTTGCAGGTGGCCACCCACCCGTGGCGAGGAGGAAGCTCGTTTTCGTCTCACCAGGGTGACAGTTCTGTTGGGTCAGGGCTCCACCTTCGTGACCCTGTTTAACCCTAATTACCTCCTGAAAGGCACTCTCTCCAGTACAGTCCAGTGGAGGGTTAGGGCTTCAACATAGGAATTTTCAGGGGACACAGCTAAGCCTCTAGCAGCGTTCTCTTATTTCCCTTCTAGTGTATGTGGGGTCTGTAGTGATGCCCCTTCTGATAATGGTAATTCATGTCTCTCTGTGTCTTGATCAACCTGGCTAGAGATTTATCAACTTTGTTGATCTTTTTAAAGAACCAGCTTTTGGCTTTTGTGATTTTTTTCTATTTTTCTGTTTAAGTGCCATTTATTTTTTCTCTATTATTTCCATCTTTTTGCTTGATTTGGATTTCTTTTCTTCTAGGTATTTAAAGTAGAAACTCAGCTTACTTACTTGAGAGCTTTTTTCTGCTGTAGATGTTTAATGCGATCAGCTTCCATCAAAGTGCTGCTCAGGTTATGCTGTATTTTCATTTTTCCTTCAGTCCAAAAGACTTTTAAATTTCTCTGGGACTTTCTCTTTGACCCATGGCTATTTAGAAATGGGTTACTTTCCAGATATTTGGATATTTTAAATTTCTCTTTGTAGTTTTTAATGCCGTAGTTGTCAGCAAACTTACTTTATATAATTTCTATTCTTTTTTTTAAAGATTTTATTTATTTATCTTTAGAGGGGAAGGGAACAAGAGAGGGAGAGAAACATCAATGTGTGGTTGCGTTTTTGTGCGTCCCCCTGCTGGGAACTGGCCTGCAGGGAACTGGTCTGCAACCTCAGCATGTGCCCTGACTGGGAATCAAACCGCAATTGTCTGGTTCGCAGGCCCATGCTCAATCCACTGAGCTACACCAGCCAGTGTAATTTCTATTCTTTTACATTCATTTTAACTCCCAGAATATAGTCTGTCTTGGTGAATGTGCTGTGTCCAAAGGGTGTGTGCTCCGCCTTTGCTGGGGCGAGTGTCCTGTCGGTCCCTGTCAGCCCATGGCTACTGTTGTTTGGATGCTCTGTGTCCTTCGGAGTTTGCTTGCTTGTTCTATTGATCACAGAGGGAGCAGGGTTGAAGTCTCTGATGAATTATCTTTTGCTTTATCAGCTTTTGCTTTGAGTATTTTGAAGCATACTTGTTGTTGGGTATATACACATTTAGGATTGCTATATCTTGTTGGAAAACTGAACCTTGTATTGTTATGTGATAACCCTTTTTGTCACTGGCAATCCCTCTTTTGAAATCTACTTCATCTGATACTCATACAGCTACAGTAGCCTCTTTTGATTAGTGTCTGCATGGTGTGTCTATTTCCATCCATTTACTTTACATGCTTATGTCTTTATAGTCAAAGTGTGCTTCTTGTATTTCAAGCGGGTCCAGGACACATTTCCAATATTCTCAAGGCACTTTCCGCACGGGTTGGAAGCTGTGTGTTCGAGTCTGCCTCGTCTTCCAGGTTGCACACGCATGAGGCTCCTGACCTCCTCTCCACACCTTTTGGCCCAGAACCTGGCATTGGGTAGTCACTGCACACTCATCTGCAGGGTGTGAGAGGCCTCAGGCGTCCTCTGCACAGAAACCTGAAGTGATGGGCGAGCTGACCAGCCTCAGGACACAGGTAGTGGACTGCCTCCTGGGGGCCACTGCTTAGATTCAGGCACTCGTGTCCGGCTGTGCTGGTGGAGGCTGGTAGGTTAGCTCAGCTGGGCTCGGTGTAGCTGTGAGTTAGTGGCCAGTGTGGAAACCCCACACCGTGGACTTGAGTGAGAGATTTTACACAGAAAAGAGGAAGCCTATTGGCTTAGAAGTTCAGGGCTGTCAGGGGGGATGGGAAGAGGAAGAAGACCCACCACAAAGGCCACTGAGACAGGACACGCGGTCCCAGGGCTGCACGGAGCTCTGACACTGTGTCTCAGCTGTGTGTGTGTTCTGCTTGGGGCACCAACTGGAACATCTTCTGTGTTGTGATGGTAGCCCCAGTGTGTTTGTCTACTGTAAGCTTTTCAAGCCAGGCACAAGGGCACCAGGTTGTGCACTGCAGGGGGTGTGGTGTTGCTGGTCCTCAGGCCAGGCTGGGGGACTGTGATGCTGCCTGTTGAAAGGGGATGCTGACCGGAGGTGCACTGAGTGAGACAAGGTATGAGGAGTGCCGGCTTGTGCTAGAGTGGGTCATCTTGCTTGAGTGATGACAGAGGAGTGGGACCCCCGTGGTGGGGGCAGGACAGCATGGTGCCTCAATCCAGGCACAGGGACCTCAGCTGGCATTGCTGTCTTTGGTGGTTTGGGGAGTCATGCAGGCACTGGGGCCACATTGACATGACTAACTTGATGCTCCTTTTTTTTAGGGCCAGAGACGATGATCCCGCCAGGGGAGTGCATGTACGCGGGGAGGAAAAGAAGGAAGCCCATCCAGAAACAGTAAAGTATCACCTTTTTTTGCTGATTGTGACTGATGAAGGGGGAAGTGTTTGTGTTTTCATTGGCAAAAGTGAATTTTAGGAACATAGTGAAGGAGGGAGAGGTTTCGGTTACGTCTCCCCAGGGAACAGAGGGCCTTGCAAGGCCTGGCTGGTGGTGTGCACACCGGATCCCATGGTGGGGACCCTGCTGCCCTTCTTCAATGGTGACGTGGGAGACCCTGCTTTGGCTGCTCTCCTGACTTTGAGGGAAGGTGAGGTGAGGGCCCAGTGGTGCTTGTTTGGCCGGAAGCCCACACGGAGGGCTGTGATGTCACCCCTATCTGTGGCGACCACCTGACCCCTCTCTGCCCATCCTTGGTGAAGACGCACCCAGCGCTCCTTTGAGAGCTTCACCATGGATGAAAGGAGACCACGGGGAGGGGGGCTCATCCCCCCCACCTGGGGGCGCCCAGAGCTCCATGGCTCCAGCCCTCCATCACCTGTGGAACATATTGCCATTGCTCACAGTCCCTCCACCTGCCCGTGGCTGGCCCAGGGGAGCTCTGGGCCACCGAGGTGTGAGGTCTATGGTAGCTGCAGGAATAATGGGGTTTGGAGGTTGCCCTGCAGGGCAGTCAGCAGTGAGGCCACCTCTGGCTCCTCCAACAGGGTTCCTACAGGTGTCCCTCATTGGCTGGGGCTCCGTGTATGTGTAATACAGCTCTGTGTTTAGTAAAGCTGTGTGAGAGAGAGATAACTGTGTGTGAGTGTGTAGTACACTATGTGTGTAACACAGCTGTGTGTAGTACTGCTGTTTGTAATGCTGCCTGGACGTGGGCCTGAGGCACAAGTCTGCCTTGCCCGCATCCAGGTGTGCACAGCTGCACCCCTTGGCCGCCTCCCCTGCAGCCCGTGCTGTGCCTGTGCTCCCAGCACCCACCCCACCTAAGGCCAGCAGGCTCTTAATCACAGGAAGGTAAATCAAGGCCCAGACCCAACAAGCACACGCATGACTAAACTGGGAGTTCAGTCATGCTAAACTGGGAGTTCAGTCATGCGTCAGTCAGCCACGTGGGCATCTGTGACGTTGGCGGGTCGCTGCACTGCTGGGCATTGGAGATGTGTCTGTCCCCCGTCTGGGTACAGGGCCTAGTGCAGACCGTGGTAATCTGTGTGCTTTTATCACAAGGGAGGTTTGGGAGCCATTGTGTTTCCTTCTCTCTGAACTGTCTGCGTTGATAACTTTTGCTCATTTTTCTATTCAGTTGTTAATGTTTTTGTCCTTCTTGATCCTTAGGAATGTGTACACTTGGGGAGACTAATTCTTGAGTGTGTTTCAAATACTTTTCTCCTGTTTCCTTTTTTTTTTTTAATTCTCACCTGAGAATAATTTTTCATTGCTTTTAGAGAGAGGGGAAAATACTTTTTCATTGCTTTTAGAGAGAGGGGAAGGGGAGGGGAGAGAGAGAGATAGAGAGAGAGAGACCTCAGTGTGAGAAAGAACACTGATTGGTTGCCTTCTCGTATGCATCCCAATAAAGGCACAAACCTGGTATGTGCCCTGACCGGGAATCGAACCTACAGCCTTTTGGTTGATGGGATAATGTTCCAGCCAACTGAGCCACACTGGCCAGGGCTCCCCAGTTTTAATTTATTTATGGTGTTCTTTGTCATGAAGAACAATTTAATTTTTATGAAGTCAAATTTATTAATCTTTTCTTTTGTGGCTAATTAATTTTACATCATAATTAGAAAGATCTCTGCTTCACTTTTATAAGAACATTTTGCAAATATTTCATCTCAACTTTTACGGATTCCTTAAAAAAAATTTAAATTTCGAGCCCTTGGAACTTTTCCTGGTATAAGGAGTGAGGTCTGAATCCATCTCATTCTTTTCCCTTATGGCCGCCAGTTGTTTGTAATACTTTCATTGAATTATCACTCTTTTCCCCACTGATTTAAGTGGCAGCGGACATTTTATTTTTTTTCTTTAATTTTTTCCTTTTTATTGAACTTATTGGGGTGACACTGGTTAACACAATTATACAGGTTTGGGGTGCACAACTCCATACACATCCTCTGCGCACTGTGTTCACCACCCCAAGTCAGGTCTCCGTCACTATTCATGTCCCCTTTACCTTCCTCCACCTCTCCCCAACTCCCTCCCCCCAGCAATCACCACACCTGTTCATGTCCATGAGTTTCTTCTCTGGTTTTCTTTATAGCTCAATCCCTCTACCAACCCATCCGGCCCCTCAGCATCTGCCCCCAGCTGTCAGCCTGCTCTGGATCTCTGAGTCTGTCTTTGTTTTGCTTGCTAGTTCATGCTGTTCATTGCATTCCACGTATGAGTGAAGTTACATGGTACCTGTCTCTCTCTGTCTGGGTTGTCTCACTTAGCATAAGGCTCTCCGGGTCCATCCATGCTGTCACTAAGGGTAAGATTTCCTTTTTTATAGCTGAGAAGTATTCTATTGTGTAACTGTACCAGAGCCTTTTTATCCACTCATCTACTAATGGACAGTGGGGCTGCTTCCAAACCTTGGCTGTTGTAAATAGCACTGCAATGAACATGGGGGTGCATATATTCTTTCAAGTCAGTGTTTCAGGTTCCTTCGAATATACTCCTAGAAGTGGAACCACTGGGCATAAGGTAGTTCCATTTTTAAAAATCTTTTAGGTAAGTTCAGACTGCTTTCCAAAGTGGCTGCACCAATGTGCATTCCCGCCAAAGTGCATGAGGGCTCCCTTTCTCCACATCCTCTGCAGCATTTGTAGTTTGTTGATTTATTGATGATGGCCATTCTGACAGGTGTGAGATGGTATCTCACTGTGGTTTTAATTTGCATTTCTCTGATGATTAGTGGCATTCACAGAGCATCTTTTCATGTGTTTATTTGCCATTTCTATGTCCTCCTAAGAGAAGTGTCTACTGAGGTCCTTTGCCCATTTTTTAAAATTGGATTGTTTGTTTTTTGGTATTGAGTTGTATAAGTTCTTTGAAAATTTTGGCCACCAACATCCTATCAGGTGTGTCATTGGCAAATATGTTCTTCCATTCAGTGGATTGTCTTTTCATTTTGTTGATGGTTTCCTTTTCTGGGCAAAACTTTGTAGTTTGATGTAGTCCCATTTGTTTCTTTTAAAAATATATATTTTATTGATTATGCCATTACAGTTGTCCCATTCCCCCCTTCATTCCCCTCCACCCTGCACACCTCCTCCCACCCACCTTCCCCCCTTTTAGTTCATGTCCATGTATCATAAGTTCTTTAGCTTCTACATTTCCCACACTACTCTTGCCATCCCCCTATGTCCTCCCCACCTCCTATGCTACTTATTCTCTGTACCGTCTTCCCCCCTCTCCTCCTCCCACTCCTTTGTTGCTAACCCTCCATGTGATCTCCATTTCTGTGGCTCTGCTCCTGTTTTAGGTGTCAACTTAGTTTGCTTTTGTTTTAGGTGAGGTTGTCAATAACTGCGAGTTTGCTGTCTATTCACTGTTCATCTTTTTTATCTTCTTTTTCTTAGATAAGTCCCTTTAACATTTCATATAGTAAGGGCTTGGTGATGATGAACTCCTTGAATTTAACCTTATCTGAGAAGTGCTTTATCTGCCCTTCCATTCTAAATGAACGCTTTGCTGGATAGAGCAATCTTGGATGCAGGTCTTTGGATTTCATGACTTGGAATAGTTCTTTCCAGCCCCTTCTTGCCTGTAAGGTCTCTTTTGAGAAATCCGCTGACAGTCTGATGGGAACTCCTTTGTAGGTGACTGTCCCCTTATCTCTTGCTGCTTCTAGGATTCTCTCCTTCATTTTAATCTTGGCTAATGTAATGATGATGTGCCTTGGCGTGTTCCTCCTTGGGTCCACCTTCTTTGGGACTCTCTGAGCTTCCTGGATTTCCTGGAAGTCTATTTCTTTTGCCAGATTGGGTAAGTTCTCCTTTATTATTTGTTCAAATAAGTTTTCCATTGTTGCTCTTCCTCTTCCCCTTCTGGTACCCCTATAATTCGGATGCTGGAATGTTTAAAGATGTCTTGGAGGTTCCTAAGCCTCTCCTCATTTTTTTGAATTCTTGTTTCTTCATTCTTTTCTGTTTGGTTGTGTCTTTCTTCCTTCTGGTCTACTCCATTGATTTGAGTTCCAGTTTTCTTTCCATCACTATTGGTTCCCTGTGCATTTTCCTTCATTTCACTTGGTGTAGCCTTCATTTTTTCATCTAATTTGTGACCAAAATCAACCAGTTCTGTGAGCATCCTGATTACCAGTGTTCTGAACTGTGCATTTGATAGGTTGGCTGGCTATCTTTTGGTCGCTTAAAAGTATTGGCTCTGGGGCTTTGATTTGTTCTTCTGATTCAGCCATTTTTGGTCAGGTCTCACCAGTTACGCATGAGGGGCGGACTCTTAGGTGTTTACCAGGTCTGGGCAACCCAGGTCCGCTGGGTTGTGACACTGTATGTGGGGTTGGGGTCAGAGAGGGAACAATGGGTCTTGCTCTGCTCTCTCTTGGATTTCGGTCCCTTCTGCCACTTCCCATAAGCCGGCACCTTTTCAATTCGTGCTTTTAGGCTTTATTTTCCATCCCTGGGGCCCTGGGTTGTGCGGTCTGTCTTGCTGCCCGTTTTTGCCTAGTTTATCAGTGCCTGAATGTGTGGCTGCAGTCAACCTCGTGCCGTCTGCACTCCTGGGTCTGGCTGCCACTGCCTTTTCCTGCCGCAACCCCTCACCACCGGCCACCGACTCCACCCCTCTTACCAGTCTGGTTAAATGGTTGTCGGACTTCTGTACAGTTCAATTTTCTGTCTTTTCTGGTTGTGTTTTTGTTTCTAAATCTTTGTTGTCCTTAATTTTGGTTGTGTGGGGAGGCATATATTTCCACCTATGCCTCCATCTTGGCTGTGTTTATTTTTTCTTTTGTTTCCCTTCCCCGAGGAGATATATCAGGAAAAAATATTGCTACAAAAAATGTCTGAAATTTTATTGTGTTCTTTTCTAGGATTTTTATGGTCTTA